TGGGTTGTTTGTCAGCTGCCTCAATCACAATAAACCGGGCCCAGGAATCCAAGCCACGAGATAATTGTTCACTTTGATCAATGTCATCAAGATCGACATGTCTACGTTTCGAACGGGTTGAACCGGGGTATTGGTGAGACATGGTGAAATATAGTAATTCAGCACCCCTGCTCCCCACCCACCATGGAGTGCTACAAGGGCGATGTGTTGTTGCACCGGATCTCCAACATGCAAACACCAGGGATACAGGGATGTTATACTCCAGAGAATATGACTTGAATAGCTATATTTATCTACCAGATGTAGTGCCAGGCAGGTTCAGTCCATGACAAGAAACTGGAGACATACAGAATACAGAGGTCAACATCACCAGATTGGCCCATGAGCCACCGCCTTCTGGCGTAAGACTCTAGGCAATTTATTCCATCAAAAATAGAGAATTTACACAAGTAATGCACGGCCAAGACCAAAATATACAATAAAAATACAACACAGATGTGCATATACAATATTACGCACAGGGCCTGGCATGACCAGCCGATTGATAAGACCGGGCCCATCTTACCACCCGTCTAGGCGAAGTAAGGGTCGAAGTAGTGTGTTGGGCAAAGGAACACAGTTCCAGGAACCAGTGCCCTCAACTACCAGACTCCCGTCCTCCGCCGACACAGGGACGCAACCCACGGCAAACGGGCTGCCCATTTTAGTCGCCTCATACGACCAGCAATGGGAGGCTGTGGAAATATTCTGCCCCGGTTCCACACGGGGGAAGAGCGATTAGCGTTACCCAGCACTCACCACGAGGAGGTTGCTCTTCACGAGTGCCGTCTGCGTCATAGAAGATGATGGAGGGATGTAAACAGAGCATAGAGTTAGAACAATGTGCAGGGTTATACGGACAGCGACAGCTTGAAGTGGGGTATCAAGAGTTACAGGGCTGTGAATAACACCCTGCCTCACCAAGACAGAAGAACCTCCAGTTGCTTTAGCACCCGGAGGTGAATAGAAATGATACGAATTATACTGTCTGATATCCATGAAATCAGTGGTTTTCAAGTAAGTCTCTTGGAGGCAAAATGCTGATGGTTTATGATCTTGTATTAATAATTGCAAATCATTAAAATTATTTCTTAGTCCTCTGCAATTCCACTGGATGATATTTGGAGAGCAACTCATGGCGGCTCAACCGGTGATCTGGAACGTGGGGGAGGACCACTCCCAGGTATGGAGTTGGAAGGAGTGACCTCCATCTCCAGAGGTTCAAACGAATTGTGAACCTCAACATGGTTAGGCGTATGAGAAGGCACCTCCAGGTGTAGGAGGGCCTTGGCTCGTTTCTTAATCTGTTTCTTTTCTTTATTGGTCAAGTGGGCACCGCCCTTGACCTTTTCCAATGCTTTAACTGTTTCTTGGTCCTGATGATCGAATTCAGTCTGTGAAGCTGATGTAGAGACATGTGATTGTGCTCTAGTGATAGGAGCCACATCCTCCAGGGTGATCTGCCGGTCTGTCACCCAGGATAAAGTTGTTTGGCAAGAAGTGGAAATTGTATGAACTTTCGTGACAGGAAGTGGCGAAGAGACGGTAGCAGAATAAGTTTTTGCAGCAGTAGTTTGGGATTGTGGTTGAACTAATCTTTTTGCGTCGTGATACGAGATATTTTGGGTGCATTTTATTTTGAGAATTTGGGACTCGTATATATATGATGTGCAGACTTTCGATGAAGCAACATGGACACCATCGCAGTTTGCACATTTGATAGATTCAGCAGAGCAGTCGGAGCTCTCATGAGCTCCACTACAACGGACGCAGACAGTGGCGCGGGTGCAGAATTTAGCCCCATGGCCAAATTTTTGGCACTTGAAGCATCGGAGTGGGTTTGGTACATATATCTCCACTCCGATGTTGAAATAACCAGCTTTGAGAGAAGTCGGGAGTTTCTGCAGGTCAAAAGTGAACAAGTACGTATTTGTTTTGATGATTTTATCATTTTGTTTTCTGGTGAAACGCTTTACAGCGGTTACACCTTGTACCTTTAGTTCATCTACAATCTCTTCTTCGCTCATGTCAGAAAGACACCGAGCATAGTCTCTAACGATACCCTGACAGGAGTTCAGAGTCCTGTGCTCAGAGACAACAACCTTGGTGTTAACGAACTGCTGTAGTCCCAGCAGGTTAACAGATTGTTGCCTCTGTAAACATTCAACCAGAATTGAACCACTTCGGAGTCGGGTCACATTTTTTACTACTCCACAGGCACCTTCTATGCCCTTGGAGATAGCAAACGGGTTTAATTTCAATGGACTGCCATCGGCAGAGGCAATGACTATAAACCGAGGCCAAGAAACAGTATTTGGAGGATTATCTTCATCTTCAGATGAAATACAATCGACATGTCTACGTTTGTAGGTCTTTGATGAACCAGAAGAAGCGTGGTGAGACATGGTAGAAGAATAGAATTCAACACCCTTGTTCCCCACCCACCATCGAGTGACAACAAGGACGACGTCGCAGCGGAAGCCAGTCTGCAACATCAGGGCTACAAAGGTGTTATACTCCAGAAAATACAGACATAAAAAGCCATGATATCTTAAAGAAGAAATGCCAGGCTGGTTCGGCCCATGACACATTTCTCAAGAACACAGAATTCAGAGGTCTATATAACCAGATTGGCCCATGAGCCACCGCCTTCTGGCATGGGACTCTAGGCAAGTTGATAACAAAGAATGTATATGTATAAGATTCATACCCAACAGTCACATCAATCGAAAAATTATAATATGAACGTGTTGCATACACAGGGCATGGCGTGACCAGCCGATTGATAGAATCGGGCCAATTCTACCACCTGTCTAGGCGAAGTAAGGGTCGAAGTGGTGTGTTGGGCAAAAGGAACACTTGTTCCTGGCTCCAATGCCCTCAACCACCAGAATCCCGTCCTCCGCCGACACAGGGGCGCAACCCACGGCAAACGGGCTGCCCACTTTGGTCGCCTCTTACGACCAGCAATGGGGTGCTGTCGAAATATTCTACCCCGGTTCCACACGGGGGAAGAGCTATTAGCGCTACCCAGCACTCACCACGAGGAGGTTGCTCTTCACGAGTGCCTATAATGGTCAGACAGGGTGGAACCCACTCGGACTTGAAATTGTCTGTCTGTTAAAAATTGTGATATAAAATGAGGCAACCTGCCTTTTAAACCAAAATCATGTAAATCCTTTAGAATGCCATGCTTCCAAGTAGTATCGTAAGCTTTCTCAAGATCAAAGAAAACTGATACTACGTGTTGCTTATTTACAATAGCATTTTTAACAAAGGATTCTAATCGTACCAAATGGTCGATAGTACTTCAATTTTTTCGGAAACCACATTGAATATTGGTAAGAAGATTGTTGGTTTCCAAATACCATACTAATCTATTATTTACAATTCGTTCCATGGTTTTGCAAACACAACTGGTTAACGATATAGGGCGGTAATTTGAGGGATCAGTATGATCCTGGCCAGGTTTTGGTATCGGTACCACAATGGCATTATGCCATGAAGGAGGAAAATTCCCTGATGTCCATATGTGGTCAAATATATCTAAAAGCGTCTCAAGACATGATTCGGGCAAATGCTTGAGTAACTGATAATGGATATTATCATCCCCTGCAGCAGTATCATGAGCTTGCTCAAGAGCAGTATGTAGCTCATGCAATGAAAATACTTCATTGTAGTCTTCACCATTATTTGAATCGAAATTAACCTTTTTCTTTTCCTGTTGTTTCTGATATCTCTGAAACTCGGGAACATAATTTGATGATGAAGAATTTTTGGCAAGAGTCTCGCCAAGTTTATTTACAATGGCAGATTTATCAGTTATTAATTTGTCACCGTCTTTAAGATGGTGTACAGACGATTTAGAACCTTTACCTTTTATTTTTTGAACCATGTTCCACACCTTGGACATGGGTGTGCGTGAATTAATTCTGGAGACATAATTCCTCCAAGATTGACGCTTATTATGTTTATAAGCACGTCGTGCCTTGGCACTAGTTATTTTAACAGTATTCAAGTTATGTACTGTAGGATGTTTACGGAAATATTTTTCCGCTTTCTTCCTACACTTTCTTGCTTGTTTGCATTCATTGGTAAACCATGGTTTACGAATGTGAGGATTTGCAGAGGACTTCGGAATTGTTTGGTCAGCAATGTCATTGAGTTGACTCGAAAACAACTGGATGGGATCTGGTACATTAGTGAAATGATCCGGTTTTAATTTTTCAGCACATAATGTTTCATACAAGGACCAATTTGCCTTTGTAAAATTCCACCGTGACGAAGGTGGGTCATCATTCGGTGTCAATGCTTGTAGGACAGTAGGAAAGTGATCACTTCCACAAAGGTCATCATGTACAGACCATTTGAACTCATTGTAAATATTTGAATCAGTGACGGACAGATCGAGTGCAGAGTAAGTTCCTGTGGCAGGATGTAAATAGGTGCTGGAATCGTCATTAAATAAACATAAATTATTATCAGATAGAAAATCCTCAATAACTTTCCCCTTATTGTTTGTAGTTGTACCTCCCCATAAAGGGTTGTGCCCATTTAAATCGCCCATGATGATGCACGGCTTAGGGAGCTGATCATACAAATGCTGAAGATCAGACAGTCGAAGTGTAGACGAAGGTGGAATATATAAAGAGCACAAAGTGAATGCAATGTGCAAGGTAAGGCGGATAGCAACAGCTTGAAGAGTTGTATTTAAAGGAACATCACTATGTATGATGTCATGCCTGACTAAAATAGTAGAGCCTCCAGTGGCTTTGTCACCCGGAGGAGAAAAAGAATGATGACAATTATACTGCCTCAGATCAAATGTATCCGTATGTTTAAGATATGTCTCTTGGAGACATATAGCTGACGGCTTAAAATCTTGAACTAGTACTTGTATCTCATTAAAATTCTTACGAAGTCCTCTGCAATTCCATTGTATAAAGTGGTGAGAGCAACTCATGGAGGCTCAATTGGAGAACGGGAACGGGGTGAAGGTCCCATACGCTGTAACGACAACGATGGAGACACTTCCATATCGAGAGGTTCAAAGGTGTTGTGAACCTCGACAGGTATTGTTGAAGGTGCCTTCAGATGTTTCAGGGTCCTTAATTCCTTTTTTTTCATTTGTTTTCTCTCTTTCCTTGTTAAAAGGTGAGGTTCAAGCTCAGTCTCAGACTCAGGGTGTGGTTGAATCTCAGGCTTAGGCTGTGGTTCAGGTTCACGCTCCAGAGAAGAAGGGGTGAATTGGTTATCAGTCTGAGTTTCAGACGACGACGTTAATTCCTCAGTAGTGGAACATAACATTGTCTGTTGATCCGAGACCCAGGAAATATCTGTTTGACAAGCATGATCAACAGTTTGCTTAGGAGAGGAGACTATGGCAGAGTAAGATCTGGATTGTAAACTGTTATGAGGTTGTTCCTTTACCAATTTCTTTGCATCAGAAAAGGAAATATTGTTTGTGTATTTGATTTTTATTATCTTTGTTTCTCTTTCAAAGACTGGACACTGTTTGGAGGAGGATATGTGCTCACCGTTGCAGTTCGCACATCTGATGTCACCTGTGCAATCAGAGCTGTCATGATTCTTACTGCAACGGGAGCAGACTGCAGAGCCACGACAGGACTTGGCGCCATGACCAAACTGTTGGCACTTGAAACATCACAGGGGATGTGGTATATACACATCCACGCCGATGTTAAAATAACCAGCTTTGATTGAGGTTGGGAGCCTCGAAAGAGCAAATGTAAATAAATAAGTGTTAGTGTTTACAACACTATCATGATCTTTTCGTGTAAAGCGTTTTACAGCTGTAACACCTTGAGATTTTAGTTCCTCAGCAATCTCCCCTTCTGACATGTCAGACAGGCATTTCGCTCGGTCGCGGACAATGCCCCTGCATGAATTCAAAGATTTATGGATAGATACTGTAACTGCAGTATTGGCAAAATGATGAGCATTCAACAAATTTATGGATTGTTGTCTCTTGGAGCATTCTATCAAGAGAGAACCAGATCGAAGACGAGTGACGTTTTGAACGTCACCACAAATTCCTTGAATAGCCTTTGAAACTACAAAAGGGTTGATCTTGAGAGGTAGACCATCAATGCCTTCAACAACTAGAAATCTTGGCCATGAGTCACTGTTGGTTGTAGAAGATTCATCATCAGAAGATGAAATATTATCTACGTCAACATGTCTTCTCTTGTTTTTGCTACGAGAACCAGTGTTTTGTGGGGTATCCATAATGAGAGAAAAAAGTTTCAACACCCCTGCTCCCCACCCACCATGGAGTGCTACAAAGAGCGATGTTTTCCTGCACCGGATCTCCAACATGCAAACATCAGGGATACAGAGGTGGTATACTCCAGTAAGAACAACATGAATAGCTGCATTTGTCTAACAAATAAAATGCCAGGCTGGTCCGGCCCATGACAAGAAATTGAAGACATACAGAACTCAGAGGTCGAAAGTACCAGATTGGCCCATGAGCCACCGCCTTCTGGCGTAAGACTCTAGGCAATTTATTCCATCAAAAATTGGTAATTCATACAAAGTATGCTTGGCCAAGTCCAAAATATACATTATAATACAACACAGGAGTGCATATACAATATTACGCACAGGGCCTGGCATGACCAGCCGATTGATAAGACCGGGCCCATCTTACCACCCGTCTAGGCGAAGTAAGGGTCGAAGTAGTGTGTTGGGCAAAGGAACATAGTTCCAGGAACCAGTGCCCTCAACTACCAGACTCCCGTCCTCCGCCGACACAGGGACGCAACCCACGGCAAACGGGCTGCCCACTTTGGTCGCCTCTTACGACCAGCAATGGGGTGCTGTGGAAATATTCTACCCCGGTTCCACACGGGGGAAGAGCTATTAGCGCTACCCAGCACTCACCACGAGGAGGTTGCTCTTCACGAGTGCCTGACTGACATGAGCATCGATCCATGAAATTAGAATATGATGACATGGATCAACCAAGTCAGCAAGCCTGACCACCCGATCTCGTTAGTCGCCTCTTGCGGCAAGCATGGGTTGCTGAAGACCTATTCTATCCCAGATCTATATGCGTCTGGAATGAAATGAGTTTGTTTGAAGTTACTGGTGAAACAGATGGAGACATCATATTTACCATAATAACACACAGAGAAAAAATACATTGTATAATCATGGATCCTTATGGCTGTTGGTTGTCCATTAAGGACTCACAATTTAATATTCCCTGTATGCATAATGTACCTCAGCACATCTGATGTCACAATTCACTGTTGTATCGATATGTGTGCATATGTTTAAACCTGATGACACAATCCATAATACACCTACCAGTGTATCGAATCATGCTTTAATTCTGTTTCCAACATTCAGAAAGTAGTATTTAGTGTTTTCAACAACTTGGCCTCATAACTACTCCAGCAATCAAAGAAACACTCACCTTTTAATGAACACCTGATATCACTAATTCATAGTGATTTATGAACACATGCGTGTGATAAAGTCAACATACAATGACTTCTGCTTTTAGGAAAGATTTTGTGTGATTATGAAATGGTTTTTGTGGCTTTCATTTACATACAGACCAGGTTGTAGCGAAACCAAAATAATACCTTACAAACATTGCTTCAGCTTTAAAAAAAAGTCATCATGAATCTGATGTTGTGTGAAATTTTATCGTCGTCAACGCCCCTTTATGAGTCGCACTCCACCGTCGAAATTACAATGTGGAGAGACCCTGGGGTGATTCAAATCATCAACACTCCTTCATGGAACTCACTCCACCATCAAAATTACAATGTGGAGGGACCCTGAGGTATTTCAAATTTGAAATAGATAAAACATTTTATCAAAATTGATTCAGGATTCAAACATGTATCGCTACAACACCCCTTTGTGGGACTCAATCCACCATTGGAATTACAATGTGGAGGAGCCCTGAGGTCATTCAGGTCATTGTCAGCACCCCTTTGTGGGACACCCTCCACGGTCGAAAATACGTGGAGGGACCCTGAGGTGATGTCAAGTCGTCAACACATCGTCATGGAACTCCCTCCACCTTCGAAATTACAAGGTGGAGGGACCCTGATGTGTTTCAGACTTGAATGTAAATAACAGCGACAAAATCAATTCCATGATCATAAGAAATCTCTACTAAAAGAAGAGTCCATTTAATAATTCTGACAATATCAAAAGCATGTGTTTTTGAGTGAGTGAGTGAGTATGGGTTTACGCCACTTTTAGCAATATTCCAGCAATATCACGGCGGGGGACACCAGAAATGGGCTTCGCACATTGTACCCATGTCAGGAATCGAACCCGGGTCTTCGGCGTGACGAGCAAACGCTTTAACCACTAGGCTACCCGACCGCCCCCATGTGTTTTTGAATCACTATTATATAGTTATTATACAACATGTTCTTGACTATGTGAGTGCATACTTTCTAGCCGGTGTAGTTATCAGACCAGGTTGTTGTAAACAATATACTACTTATTGAGTATTAAATACAGAATGAAAACATAAATCAATATATCAGTAGGCTATTGTGTATCCTATCATCAGGTTTAAACATATGCACACACATCGATACAACAGTGAAATTGTGACGTCACATGTGCTGAGGTACATTACGCATACAGGGAATATTAAATTGTGAGTCCTTAATGGACAACCAACAGCCATAAGGATCCATGATTATACAATGTATTATTTCTCCATGCTTTTATGGCAAAACAGGATGTCTCCTTTTGTTTCATCAGTAACTTCAAACTGTGTAATTTCATTCTGTTCATATTCAATCAAAGCTCTGGCACTGAATCTGTCCTTGGTGTTCATCCTATTAGAATATAAAACACATTTAATACAAAGAGCAATTGAGAATATGCCATAAACTGACATGAATTTTTTTTTTTGTAGGTCTGCTAAAATATATACATTATAACTATTAAGTATCTTATGTTAACAACATGTTTTACTCATAAGAATTAAATATATATATTATATAAATCACACACAAACACACAAATTAGTTCTGCCTAGATATATACAACTTCCCTAATCAATGTCACCACAATCAGGGACAAATCAGGAGATATCTCACACACCCCTATCCCACCCCTCTTTCTCTAAAGTTATGTGCAATATACATGAATTGTAGGTGCAGTTGTATTATGTACAAAAGATGTATTATATTGTACAAATATGGGTCATTGAACACGTGTGATATGCCACAGTTATCAAGAAGTTGCTGGACATTGATTAACAAGCTGTTAACTCTTGGATTTACAAAATTATACATTTTCCTAAAGCTAAGAGCATATTGTGATAATTAATTAAATACGATTATTATGAATTTCCAGTTTGTGCCAAAAATTAATTACTATTTTAGATATGGTTATGTGAAGAGGGAAGGACAGCGGTAGTAGTATTTTGTAAATGATTAATAAAGCTTTGGACTCATAGCTCATCCCGTAAAAGGCAAGTCAGATCACACCACCTCTCAAACATTATCCTTTAAGTAAGCACAAGTAAAACAACCCGTAACTTCAAAGTACACCTCTATTCGCCTTTCTGCGAATATCTTACACTTAAAAGTCACCTTTATGCAAAAGGTTAAACTTCCTACCCTCACATGGTGGTCACAGACTATCATTTCTGCTTATACCACATAAAGGCCATTTTCCTGTGCTATACATATCCTTGGACTATCGCACGTATCTATAGCCAATCAGAGAATGTTTCATAAAATCAACATCCGGGTTCCGAAAACATAACTGCTGCCACAGCTTGTCGAATTTCCACTTAAGTTCTTTCAACTATTTAGGGAAGATAATAACGTATTCTTAGTCTTTCCGAGTTTTAAATCAACTCTCTCAAACACTGTGCTTGTCAGCAGTAGGTGATGGGAACAGTCCTTCCCTTAAACACGACTGGTACACATTCGTATAAAAGCTATTTACGGCTCCCTGTCATTGTTGACACGAATAGACAAGACAGACAATAATTTATAAGGTACATTGTACAATATACATATAAATCAAAACATGCTTAAAACTTACGGCCAGTCGT